GGATTAACTTAATAATAGGGTAATAATGCAAGTGATGTGACCATTACTTTTACAAGTGCTTTGGTCAATTAATCTTTAACAAAGACAAATTAATCTGTTTTGTTGTATCAATTTAATTAAGCTACCATGTGGTCCACGTGTGAATGAGAGAATATAGACATAACCTATACCCTAATTACGAATTATTGTAATAACTCTATCGATTGGTGGTGGGTATTATTATTATTAATCTCCGGGTCAGTTGGCAAAATGATAACAAAAATCTTCGGGGCTTGTGATTAATTTAATTAAGTGTTGGTGCGAAGTTACGTCACCTTGAGGTCTAGAAGGTGTCGGTGTAATGTTTAAAAATTTGTTTTTGCGTTGCTAAATGATTCAAGTTTAACAAGACAAATCAAGGCTGCGATTGTTCAAAATCAGGTGTTATGTAATTATCAATAACAAAAAGTAGGTTAGGTGTTAATTGTTATGGTGTAAAACGACGACTAACATATGATGGAATTTGTTCGTTTTCCACGAACTAATTAAACAAAAATCAAGTAGTTGAGAATCCTATTATTTCAATTTTCAACAACAAACAAAACTTTTATTTTGAGTTGGTTAGTTTATTCGGATGATAATATTCTTTTTTCGATGATAATAATGTACATATTTACGTTTATGGATTAATCGTGTATATTGTTAAAGGATGATTCTAAAATTTCTATTCATAAACTACTAAATTTCACAAAGAGAGAGTGTTTCTAAAAAATGTTAAAAGATATAAAGAACTATGATGGCCGACTMAATCATTTGTATCTTTTAGTTTAGTTCATATTTTATGTAGTGGTAATATCCGGACCGACTCTCTTGTAAAAGAAGGTCAAACACGAGGTTATGTAATTTTTTATGTAAATCGACATATTCGTTTGGGGAATCCCGTCAGGAAAGCTATCCAATCGATAACACTTAAGTTAATATATGGTGATTGTTAAAAAAAAAAAAACTATGTTGGCAAAAACAAGCACCTATTAAAATGTTTAAATAGTTTCATATCATGTACATGTAATTTAATGTCAATAGGGTGGTCAATAAGTGATTAGAATCAAAATGCTAATGTTACAGGACAAAGAAAAACCATGTGACCACAACATGTTACTTAGGTGCCACGTTGACTTTTTATTCCCTGACAAAATGCCTTGGTCAAACGTAATTTAGTTACATTTTTACTTAAGTGTACATGTAAATATTTATTAACCTAGTGTTAATGTATAGAGAGCTTCAAAGTTCACAGCTTTTTAAAGTTCCATTTTTTCCCTCGCCAAATGGTTCACGCTTCTCTCTGGCGATTTCGTCTTCAAGAATTCCCTTCGCGTATTCGTAATCTCTGTTTCCACACTTGTCCATGTCCATACACATCGATTTCTCCTCCGAGGATCGTTTCAGTTTCCCTTGCGATTAGCAATGATCAATCCCTATTCCATTTCTTCGATCATGTTCTTCGATTATGCTTGACGTCTCAGCAATGCCGGCAAGTTCATGCCAAAATACTTGTATCGGATTTCATCTTCCGTTCTGGGTCATTAGCTGCGAGTCTCGTATCGGTTTACTCCAGATTAGGACTCATTCTCGATGCCCGTAACGTGTTTCAAACTGTTTCGTTTGTTTTGTGGTCGGATTTGGGTTTGTGGAACTCGATTCTGAAAGCCAATGTAACTCATGGATTACACGAGAATGCTCTTGAGCTCTACAATGGAATGCGTGAACGAGGTCTTACAGGGGACGGGTTTATTTTACCTTTGATCCTTCGAGCTTGTAGGTACTTAGGACGTTTTGGTTTGTGCAGGGCTTTGCATAGTCAAGTTATTCAGATTGGTTTGCAAGAGAATCTTTATGTGGTGAACGAGTTGCTTGCGTTGTATCCAAAAGATGGGAGAATGGGAGATGCCTACAATCTGTTTGTTGAAATGCCTGTGAGAAACCGTATGTCTTGGAATGTTATGATTTCAGGCTTTTCTCAAGAGTATGACTGTGAAAGTGCTGTTAAGATTTTTGAATGGATGCAACGTGAAGAGTTTAAACCAGATGAAGTGACTTGGACTTCACTTTTATCATGTCACTCTCAATGTGGGAAGCTTGAAGATGTTATCAAATATTTTGATGTTATGAGGATGAGTGGGAGTGCAGCTAGTGGCGAAGCTCTTGCTGTTTTCTTCTCTGTATGCGCTGAATTAGGAGCATTCAGTATCGCTGAGAAAGTCCATGGGTATGTAATAAAAGGTGGGTTTGAAGAGTATTTGCCCTCAAAGAACGCATTGACATACGTGTACGGGAAACAAGGGAAAGTTAAGGATGCACAAATGTTGTTCCGGCAAATAAGAAACAAAGGTATAGAGAGCTGGAATGCTTTGATAACATCGTTTTTGGATGCTGGTAAACTAGACGAGGCTCTTTTATTATTTACCGAGTTGGAGGAAATGAATGATTTTTGCAACGTCAAGGCTAATGTAGTTACCTGGACCTCTGTTATCAAGGGTTGTAACGTGCAAGGAAGAGGAGATGATTCACTTGAATATTTCCGAAGGATGCAGTTTTCCAAAGTACTGTCTAATTCAGTGACAATTTGTTGTATACTATCCGTTTGTGCGGAGCTTCCAGTTTTGAATCTCGGAAGAGAGATCCATGGCCATGTAATCCGGACCTCAATGAACGAGAACATTCTGGTTCAGAATGCATTGGTGAATATGTACACAAAATGTGGGTTTCTCAGTGAGGGGAATCTAGTATTTGAAGCAATTAGGGATAAAGATTTGATCTCCTGGAACTCAATGATTAATGGTTATGGTATGCATGGGCTTGGTGAGAGAGCTCTAAGTATGTTCGATCGAATGATAAAATCCGGGGTTCATCCTGATGGAATCGCTTTGGTAGCTGTTCTTTCAGCCTGTAGTCATGCAGGGCTGGTTGAAAAGGGACGCGAGATTTTCCATTCGATGAGCAAGACATTTGGTATAGAGCCCCAACGAGAACACTATGCATGTATTGTTGATCTCCTTGGTCGTGTAGGATTTCTGGAAGAAGCTAGTGAGATTGTGAAGAACATGCCTATGGAGCCCAATGCCTGTGTCTTGGGAGCTTTACTAAATTCTTGCCGGATGCACAAAAACACGGACATTGCAGAGAATATTGCATCACAACTTTTCAGTCTTGAACCGGAGATGACAGGAAGCTATATGTCGCTGTCTAACATTTACTCTGCTGGTGGAAGATGGGAAGAATCTGCAAAGGTTAGGGCTTTAGCCAAGAAAAGGGATCTTAAGAAAGTTTCTGGAAGCAGTTTCATTGAATTGAAGAAGAAAGTCTACAAGTTCTCATCAGGATCAACAGTACAGAGCGAGTTTGCTAGCATCTACCCGGTTCTTGAGGATTTGGTTAGTCATATGTGGAAGAAAGGTCCTACACACGATGGGAACAATTACGAGGATGATCTTGACTTATGGACAGCGTAAAAGATGCGTAAATCCCGTTTGCATCGTGAGAAGATGCACACAAAAAAAAAAAAAAAACTCACAGAACCCATCAGGTAAGCTTGCTTCAGACCTTTCAAATTAGCATTGTCGACCAATTACCAAATCAATCTTCAAAATAGAAGAGTCTTGGTCGTGATAAACCCAAGCTAGCTCATCTGAAGCTTGACCTTGCTAATGTTGCTATCTTATTATATCTTCACAATCATCATTAATCACTGCAAGTACAGTCCATAACCAGACTCTGCTGCATATCTTGATGTTGCAGGTTCTGATAAGGCAGTGTAAAAACTTTCCTGAGCTAGAGACAGACGAATGTCGAGCTGCTGGAGAGCCGAGTTGAGTTTTGCACTAGATCGCTCAATCTGGCATTGTGGATCATACACAATCCTTTAACACCAACCAACTGATTTGTGATCACACAAATCAACTTCCAAGGAAGTTGGTGTGTACATAATTTTAACTCGTTGAGATTCGCACGAGGTCTTTTGGTCATCTAAGTGAGGTTACTTGCCTCCTATGAACGTTGCGGGAAGGAAAGCATCTTCTTGAGCACTTTCTCCGCTGTTATTTTACAAATGGCGCAGGCTAGGATTGTTCAAGTGTAATCATAATCATACATACAACTTTATAAAAGAATTTCTCTCTCACAACTTTATACAACTTTCTCTCTCACAACAGTTGAATGTGAAGAATTGGTGAAGTTGAAGTATCTCAATCTATTTCTTAATTTAACTGTTCCTCCAAAACTACAAAGAAAAGAAAAAAACCATCTTTTTACAGAAAAAAAAAGAGTCTGAAATCCCCGGAAGTTCTTACTTCTGATAAGGATGGTATCGACCCGGCCCTGAACCATTAGTCCCATTTCCTCTGCCATTACTTGAGCCGCTGTTTCCGTTTGCATGAGCCTTTCCACTTCCATAAGTAGCAGCCGCAGGAACACCGTATCCACCACTCATATGGCTATAACCGCCAGCTCCATAGCCAAGGTTGAACATTTGACCT